GTTTCACTCGTCAAAATAAAATAAATAAGTGGAAAGTAGAACAATGGAAGAGGGTCGATCCATAGGGAAATATTGGAATCTCTTATACGATTTATGTTGTTTCATCCAGGAAGCTGTAAAAAAACAAAATAAAGAAAAAGAGAAGGTGCGGTAGGCGAATTTAAGATAAAGCAAACTAAGTAAAATCAAATAAGTAATTGAATAAAGTAATGATTATAAGAAAGCAATAAATAATTTGGGAAAAATTACGATGAAAGAAATTGCCTTGAGCTAGCTTTGTTTCGATTCTCGCGATCATAGTAATGTATTTTTGCTCTGAGATTCATGTCGGTTACAATCTACAAGGCCCAACCCATTGTAACTTACTCTTATCTTGTGTAATGTATCTTTCCAATTCTATCTTTGAAAGATGATTCTTGAGTGGATTAACCACATCTATTACTGTTAAAACATTCATATTAAAAACTGGAAAGGCCCGACTCGAATGTTGTCTTGTTAAGAATCGATTCTGATATCATTTTACCTTAGCAAACCGCTGCTAAGCGTGTTCACAGGAAGTCGAAGTGCTATAGATCTATGCTTCCTCCAAAGTGTATTTTCAAACAATGTTCGGACCAACGTCGACTTTTTGATTCGAAAACATTTAAATATTATGAACAAGGTCGATTGCCAAGCTCTTTTGTCTAGAAAAAAAATGTATCTCGAAGGGATTTAAGCGATCAGTTTCATTCTCACAAATAAAATCGATTTATTACTAGCTCTTGGCACGAGGAAATTAGCTAAGCATGATATTGATCATCATACTTAGCATGGATTTGTAAAATAAAATAACTTAGAAATGAAATAAAGTGAAAAGAAAATGGATCTTTAATAAAAATGTCGAAAATAAATAAAGTAAAAAAATAAGAGATGTCCAAGCCTTTACCCATGAAGGGTATTTATACGCTCTTTAAATTTAGAAATAACAAAATAAAACTCAAGATAATCTAAATGATAATTCAGGTGTTTTAAATTTTTAAACCAAGAAATTGAAATCCTAAAATCTCTCTCCAGAATCGTGCTCAGTGAACTTGTTTCCAGAATCTTCCAACGCCTTCCAGATATTGCCACATCAGCTCCGCGTCGTGTCCATGCCTTCAGCCATGACCAGTAAAAAAAAGAGCATAATACATCCTTTTGTTGCCAATTCCAGTAAGCTAATCACTGTAAAAAAAATAAACAAAAATAACCCAATTCAGTAGTGAAAAATTCTTAAAGCATGGGAATTATCAAATAAAAAGTGTCAATCTCAAGCAGTCATCACCCCATGATTGTATTGTACATATTTTGGGAGACTTCCATATTTTGTATACTTTATTTCGATTCTGCGTATGATATGATGGATGATTTTGATAATTATAAACTGTTTTGAAAAGAATTTTTTGGGTTGACCATTTCGATGGTCCCATGTGGCATCGTAATACACGGATCTTCGGGTCGACTGGATTAAGGTGTTACACCGCAACCACAATTTAAATTGCTGGATGAATTCACTTGGCTTGGGAAGATGGAAATAACGTCGCCAACGATTTTGGAGAGCACACTATTTGGAGAGAGGGATGACTATGAGGTAGATGACACAATGGTGATTTTGCCAATGGGTAGAGGATGGGTCGTTGTTGAGATTTATTAAATTATTTTAAGTTAGGACCAAATTGATAGAATGTATAAATTTTGACAACTAAAGTCTAAAATTATTGTTATATTAGATCACATCATCATTTTCATTAAATAAACTGTCAAAATCTACTGTAAGCGAGTAAAATAAAAATATATACTAAAAAATAGTAGGTTGATGAAAAAGAAGCACAAGAATAGATGAGGTACCAAATAAATAGTTTACCCTAAAATAATTATTTGATCAACCCAAATTTATGGGCTTTCACCCGTCGTTTAATCAGGTCTTAGGTCCATGAATATAATTTATATATGTATTTGATTATATACATTGTATTATCATCTGTATCATTGAGCTTATCGAAGTTTATTTCACTGATTTCATTGGTTTTGTAGATTTCAAGTATTTATAGGTTTGATTCAGATCGCATTGCTAGGTAACCTCTCTTTATTTGAATGTAAATAATTTGACCTAAATTCCTGATTAATAGTAGCATGTATAAAAATATTTTGATGATTTGGTTAGTAATGTGTTTAGACAACTATTTTGATGTAATATGAAGTTATATACGAGTGATGAGCATAATATGTATATGTTTATATGTCAAATGATATACATGTGACCAACGGATTTGTTCAATTGGTAAGCATATTGATATCGATTTAGCAAGATTTTAGATTCGAGTCATTGTATATGCAGAAAATTTTTGTTGGGAGACTCACCCACTAAAACTAGGTGTGCGACTCAGATTGATCTAGATTAGTCAAGGGGCATGGTTTCTCCACCAAGTGCGTTTCCTTGGTTAAGCAGCAACGTGCTCGGCACACTGTATATAGAAGATGAACTACACATAAAACCAACGTTTCAATTTTTACCTATGATCTCTCTTGAATGAAAACCGTCAATTGACTAATGATCAGTACATATTGTTAACATGACATTATCACATTTGCTAAACTGATGACTTATCATATGTCACGTCATCACCTTAATTGATACGTCACATGCTATATCATCACTTTAGATGGCATGACATATACGCTATGTCACCATCTTAGGTTATGTGACATGTAACATGTCATCATTTAGTACATGTGGAAATATAACATCGTCGGCATGTGTTGACCGTTAGTCAACTAACAGCTTTCATCCTACATGAGCTATTTTGATAAAAAAAATTGAAACATTGAAGCTAAAATGTTAAGAAAAAGAACCAAAGTGACATTTTTGCAAACGTTAGGGGACTAAGTTTTGTATTATGCCATTGGTTAAGGACATTATAGTCTTGAGCTTTACTCGAACAAAGGGTAAAACTCTTTTGCTTGCAATTCTCTGTCTCCATGCAAATGCAGAAAGAGCAAATCATGTAGCAGCTTCCATGCAAATGCAGATCCCTGATCACCTTCTGAATCTGACCATCTTCACTTTTCTTCCTTAATAATCCAGTTAACCTTTCTAGGATATCGAGACCGAGTGTATAAATACATTAACTCTTAACCGTCAAGGCCTCAAACCATCGAGTCTTTTTTCTTTTGCCTCTAACGAATCTTTTCTCTTTGCCATGGATGAGTTCGAGTCCCAGCAACACAAGAGTGGAGCAGCCAAGGGCTCCGCAAAAAGGAAGGGGCATGGTTTCTCCACCAAGTGCGCTTCCTTGGTTAAGCAGCAACGTGCTCGGCTCTACATCTTGCGCCGCTGTGCCACCATGCTTCTTTGCTCCTACCTTCAGGGTGATGACTAGCGACCAATACCGATACTCCCTCCATCGATCATGCTAATCCCTGTTTGGTTCTATGGGGCTTACAGTGTGGAATATCAGCACAATTCTGCCTAGTTTCCTTCTGTTTTTTTTTTTGACCTGATTGGGGTAATCCCATTGGGTTTTTATGGGAACAGGAGAAGTTTATGGCCAGACCCTTGTTTTTTCACCAAGTTGGGATTGAACATGATCTGGATGGAGCTGCTATTATTAATTATATCGAAAGTTGTTTGCCTGTTTCTGTTAAGGTTAAATGTTAACTTTGTTTTAGGGAATGCTACATTTTGGGATTCAAAAATATGGAATTCTACCTTTTGAGAATGGTCATATGGCCCTGTTACAAGTATAGGTAATTTGTAGTACTATTGTTGGTTGATGAGTGCGGTTAGATCGTTAAGAATCTGTTGCTTTGTACTGCACCGTCTGACGAAGGTTGAGAATTGGTTGGAGACGGTTGTTTGTTAGTTGCTAGTCTCTAAACCAATAATCATCAGTCATTTGAATACAAGTCACTCGGTCTCTATCGAGATATTACGAGTCTTTAATCAATAAAATTTGGGAGAGTACTGCCTCTCTTTCTCTGCATATCATCAATTCTCATTCTTCACCATCACGTAAATATCATAACATGGTATCAATCACCGATGGCTTTGGTGCTTCATTTTCTTCCGCTGTTATCGTTGTTTTGGGATCACCCGTGTGTTTAGGAATCGAATCATGTAAATTGTATTTTCAGTTGTATTGTGTTTATTGTGATTGCGGACATAGCAGACACTATTACGATGATTGTGAGTATCACGATCATGCAACAACCATTCCGGATTACACTGCTGTATGACGGGCACCATTAACTATTTAAATCTTTCCTTCATCTGACAACATGTATGCTTAAGAGTTGCAGTTTCAGGAGGCTCTCATGCATCTACGTCTCTTCACAACCATTTCTAACCCATGTTTCACCCTTAATATCAGTCCAAGCCATGCTCTTTGCCTAGTTTATAAAACTGGTTTAATAACTTTCGATGATCAGAAAATATTTTCTTTGATATTTATTTTGGATTTAAACTTATTAAATAATATTAAGAATAAATTCAAATGAGTTGAATTTGAAGAGAATTAAACCTAATTGAGTTAAAGGACTAAATTGTGAAAATAGAAAAGATTGAAGTAGTGGACTATTTTGTAGAGAGAATAACTTGTATATTTGCATGGCAAATTAATCCGTTTCTATTAAATGATGAGTCATGGACCTATGTGTCATTAGCACAAAATTAAGCCAAATTTCCTTAATTAAATTAAGGAGTAAAAGTGGGGTGAATGAACCCCACGGTTTTGAGTCATTAGAGAGCGACAAGGTTTTGAGCTATCTTCAAGCTTGCTTTCACATCCCCTTGTCGCCATTGATGATCTCTAAGGCAGCTTATGGACAACAATTGAGAGAAACCCTGGTTATAAATTAAAGAATTCAAGCCCAGTTATTCCATAGTTAAGTCAGGTAAGCATAACGAATAAAGATTGCAAAAAGAAAAGATGATGGTCCACTTAAGTTCGGCTCAGTGAGGCATGTTGGATCTTTGAGGATGAAGCTTGTTATCCTTCCACTGCCAAGAGAGGAAAGTCTTCGCTGCTCTGTGAAACCAGCCTCACGCAGTACCCTTCACTCTAATAGCCACGACACCAACAGTTTTCACTGAGGTCCCATGGCCCACTCTTTGGTTGAAACGGGCAAGCCATTATAAAGCCTATTGGGATCCGACTCAAAGATCCAAACCTAAGTCCCATCACCTCAATGCCCCCATTCGTATTACAAACTCCCGTTACAAAGCTCGGCTATACATTTGTTGGGCAACAACAAATGTAAATAACTAATATCTGCTCTTGCTTACCCATGTGGGATTTTTTCTTCCGTGGTGCTTTTTCTAATGTTCATGTCTTCTTGGATAAGCTGAATTTGTTCTATTTTAACCATACATACTATGCTACTACCAATTATAGTTTCACAAGATCGATCAAGGACTGCAAAGTAACCACCAATTATCTGAAATAGAAGCTGTTACAAGTTCTTTGTGCTCTAAGTCCTTGAATTGGTAGAATAACACTGATAACAAGTTCTTTGTTTAACAGAACCACCAAGAAGGATAATGCAATTGTATCCAAGTCAAAAATGGATAATGCAATTTTAACATATGATTGAAGCTAGCACATAAAGAATTACATTAATTTGAAGCTAGCACATAAAGAATTTTGTCAATCGGTTTCGTGGTGTAGATGATCATCACGTTAGTCTAACACACCAAAAATGATAAAATTTCGGTTTGAGTCCGGACACTAAAAATATTCGGTTTGAATCCAGACGAATGCAGTTATTTTTTGTTTTTCAACTTTTCTTCTTTAAAAATAGAACAGAAAAAACAGTAAAGCTTTCACCGTTACCATAAATCAAATCTAAGTCATCCACGTGACGAGCGAGAATACTTATCGCTACACTACAATGTCACTAAAAATTGTTATAAAATTGTTGGTTATCTTGTTTGTCTAGCACTAAAAATATTCGGTTTTAGTCCGGGTGAATCCAGTAAATTTTGTTTTTCAACCTTTTTTCTTTAAAAATAGAACAGAAAAAAAGTAAAGCTTTCACTGTTGCTAAAGATCAAATCTGAATCATGTTGGATTAAAATTTTTAATCATGACACATATATATTTATAATGTATATTGTTATCATAAAATATGACATAAATTAAGTAATCAATTATGTTATAGAGTCATAAGATATTAAAAGCGTCATGGAAATAAAAGTGTATATACTATTAAAATTGTATTTATAATTTGATGAAGGACAGACTTATAAGTATAGACAATAGTTGATTCTTAAATCAGCTATATAAAAGGGTTGTGGTCCTCAAGAAATAGAAATTCTCGTATTTACTTCTATCCCGGTCAGAGAGTCTATACTCAAGGGAATTCTGTCTTTTTGGAAGATCACAACCAAAGAAAGATTCAAGGATTTCAACCTATCAATTAATCAAGTGCGCTTCCTGTTGCGGAATACGGCTATCAGATAGAGCAAAATCGCAACTGATAATTTGAGAAAATAAAGATGAAGATAAAGAACACACAAATTTTACGTAGAAAACCCCTAAATAATATAGGGTAAAAACCACAGGCAATGATAGAAGAATTTCACTATGAGAAAATAGGAATTACAACTTCTCTCGATTTAACAAGGAGAAAACAATACAATTCTCTCTTGATAAAAAGAAGAAAATAAATCTCAAGAAAACTCTCTAAATTCTCTAGTATTGGGAGAAAGTTAAAATGATTTGGGATGATTTTAAAGCTAAATGAGTTAAAATATTTATAGTTAAGTTTAAGGACTAATCTTATAAATATTCTAAAATGCAGATACTAAATTTACAATTTTCTCTTGCCAATTTCAACAAAAACATACTGCCTAATTTTGACAAATTAGCCGCCCCATTTGCTGGACCAAATCAACCGTATGTTTTTGACATTCAACACTTCCATGGTTAAGCAGCAACGTGCTCGGCTCTACATCTTGTGCCGCTGTGCCACCATGCTTCTTTGCTCCTACATTCAGGGTGATGACTAGCGACCAATGCCAATGCTCCCTTAATCGATCGTGCTGACCCCTGTTTGGTTCTATTGGGCTTACGGTGTGGAATGTCAACACAGTTCTGCCTAGTTTCCTTCTTGGTTTTTGACCTGATTGGGGTAATCCCATTGGGTTTTTAGGGGAACAGGAGAAGTTTATGGCCACACCCTTACTTTTTCACCAAGTTGGGATTGAGCACGATCTGGATGGAGATGCTATTATTAATTATATCGAAAGTTGTTTGCCTGTTTCTGTCAAGGTTAAATGTTAACTTTGTATTAAGAAATGCAACATTTTGGGATTCAAAATTACGGAATGCTACCTCTTGAGAATGGTCATATGGCCTGTTTGTTAGTTGCTAGTCTCTAAAGCAATAATCATCAGTCATTTTGTATACAAGTCACTCGGTCTCTATCGAGATATTACGAGCCTTTAATCAATAAAATTTCGGAGAGTACTGTCTCTCTTTCTCTGCCTATCATCATTTCTGATTCTTCACCATCATGTAAATATCATAACATAGTATCAATTGCCGATGGCTTTGGTTCTTCACTTTCTTCCGCTGTTATCGTTGGTTTGGGATCACTAGTGTATTTAGGAATCGAATTGTGTAAATTGTATTTTTGGTTGTGTTGTGTTTATCCCGATTACGGACATAACAAATCCTATTGTGATAATTGTGGGTATCACCATCATGCAATAATGATTCCGGACTACACTGCTATATGACGGGCATTATTAACTATTTAAATCTTTCCTTCATCTAACAACAGGTATGCTTAAGAGTTGCAGTTTCAGGAGGCTCTCATGTCATCTACCGTCTCTTCACAGCCATTTCCAACCCTTAATATCAGCCCAAGCCATGCTCTTTTCCTTGTTAATAAAACTAGTTTAATAACTTTCGACCTTTGATGATTAGAAAATATTTTTTTTGATATTTATTTTGAATTTAAAATTATTAAATAAGATTAAGAATAAATTCAAATGAGTTGAATTTGAAGAGAATTAAACATAATTGAGTTGAAGGACTAAATTGTGAAATTAGAAAAGATTGAAGTTGTAGACCATTTTTGTAGAGAGACGAACTTATCAAGTTATCACGTTTGCATGAAAATTTGATCAATTTCAATTTAAATGATGAGTCATGGACCTAGGTTTCATTAGCACAAAATTAAGCTAATTTTCCTTAATTGAATTAAGGAGTAAAAGTGGGGTGAATGAACCCCACAAAATTAACAAGGTTTTGAGGTATCTTCAAGCATGTTTTCACTTCCCCTAGCCGCCATTGATGATCTCCAGGCAGCTCATGGACAACAATTGAGAGAAACCCTGATTATAAAGTAAGATTAATTCAAGCTCAGTTATTCCATGGTTTTAATCGGGTGAGCATAACGAATAGGAGATAGCAAAAAGAAAAGATGATGGTCCATTTAAGGTCGGCTCAGTGAGACATGGAACCAGGGTTTCAAATCGCGGTCGCGTTTTTGGTTATTTCGGATTTACAGTGATTGCGGCCGTCGATGGTAACTCAGACAGCGGCGAAACTACTATTTCGCGGCCGAAATCGCGGTCTAAAACCCTGTGTGGAACCTTTGAGGATGAAAGCTTGTTATCCTCCCACTGCCAAGAGAGGAAGGTCTTCGCTGCTCTGTGAAACCAGCCTCACACAGTACCCTTCACTCTAATAGCCACGACAGCAATAGTTTTCACTGAAGTCCCATAGCCCAACTCTTGGCTTGGTACGGGCAAGCCATTACAAATCCTAGTGGGATCCGTCTCAGGGAGCCAAACCCATGTCCCATCACCTCAATGCCCCCACTCGGGTTACAAGCTTCCTTTACCAAGCTCGGCGATACATTTGGTGGGCAACAACAAATGTAAATAACTAATATCTGCTCTTGCTTATCCATGTGGGATTCTTTCTTCCGAGGTGCTTTTTCTAATGTCAATGTCTTCTTGGATAGGCTGAATTTTTTGTATTTCTAAATCAGGAAAAAAAAACCTAATGAGAGCTTTCAATCTCAATGTCATAGTTTTTACAAGATCGATCAAGGACTGCAAATTAACCACCAATTATCTGAAATAGAAGCGGTTATAACAAGTTCTTTGTGTCCAAGTCCTTGAATTGGTAGAATAACACTGATTACAAGTTCTTTGTTCAACAGAACCACCAAGAAGGACAATGCAATTGTATCCAAGTCAGTAATGGATTACGCAATTTTAACATATGATTGAAGCTAGCACATAAAGAATTACATCAATTTGAAGCTAGCTCATAAAGAATTACGTCAATAGGTTTCGTGGTGTAGATGCTGGTTATCACCTTAGTCTAACACACTAAAAATTGTGATCGGTTATCACGTTTGTCTAACACTCGAAAAATTTTCAAACTAAAAATTATATTTTGGTTATCACGTTAGTCTAACACGCTAAAAATTTTTGGTTAAGTCCGGATGAAGCCAATAATTTTTGTTTTTCAACTTTTCTTCTTTTAAAAACAGAACAGGGAACAAAAGTGAAGCATTCATTGTTGCCATAGATCAAAACTGAGTGTTCCGAGTGACAAGTGAGAATCCTTACCCCTACACTATAACGACTTGATTAACAACTGGTTTGTTATTTATTTTGACAAACAATATGACAGAGTAATTTCAGATGTTTAATGAATCATAAGGAGAACTCTACTTATGTTCTTTCTAATGTCGAAATAGATTTTAGCAATTTGTTTATTTATGTCATGTTCCAATATTTGTTTATCTAGTTACAGTCCAAACATTCTAAAAAGGTCTGTAACTAGTATACAATTATACTCTACTTGAATTTGAATTTCAAATTAACTATTGATGTTTCTTAGGAAAACTGTCCGCCCCCTTAAGCCTCATTCATTATAAGATGATTTGAATTGATCTTCTGATTTTGTTGACAAAGATTGTTCAATTTTGGTTCTAGTTTTGGATGCTTGTAGAAAACTTTTAGTAAAATTGACATTGAAGTCTGACAAAGTTTATTGCTATGAGGTGAAAACTTTTATGTTGTTTAAA